ACCACAGAAGATACAGTATTTTATTGTTTTGGCATTGTTCCCCTAATGCCTCCTACAGTAGCCAATAAGAAGCCTATAGTTGTGGACAGAGGCTGTATTGACAGTCAATAATATTGAAACAATACACACTAGAAAAGCTACAGTTTCTGGGGAAATTGTGTGAAGTGTTCTTGCCTCCACCAGTAGTCTACAACTGGAGTGGGCGGAGTAACTGGGTGGAGTGGGCGGAGTAACTGTTGTGTGGTTGGAGTTGCCGGAGTAACTGTGAAAAGGTTGGACTGGGCAGAGTAACTTTATGGAGTGGGCAGAGTAACTGTGTGGAGTGTTTGGAGTAAAGATAGTAAACATTACACTAACCAATTACATATATAGTGCAGCGCTGAAATGTGATAAAATTAGTATAAATTCATAGAGTCTTTCTTATGACAATAAAACCAAATATGTGCAGGTCTTCTCCTCATTAGGTGACTGGAAAATAGCAAGATTGCGCACTCACCGACCGCACATTTTAAATGCGCCTGTGTATGATATAATCCAAAAGACCAGCCAGGTATGCAGCTCCAGAGACCACACGGATCCTCCCTCTCCAACACTCACATCCGCCTTGGGTGTAGCAATATCTCCAGATCCAGAGGTAGATAGACAGGGATCCCCCTTCTGGTTCCAGACACCCCAAGAATGGAAGATGTATATCTGCACTCTCCAACAGGAGAGTCGAGAAAAAAAGGGGGAACGCCAATAGTGTGGTAGTTTCAAAACTTTATTGGAGCAATAATGCCTGGGTCATATGCACATACATATCCATACACCATTAGCCAATAACGGACAGGTAGGTATGAAAAAGAAATTGTACTAACCCGGCAATGGTATAAAACAAAGACCAGTAGACCTCCTCGTGGTCTCAGTGGTCAGGAAGTCACACTTGCTACTTGGCTCCTCCTAGGATCTACCTCTGGATCTGGAGATATTGCTACACCCAAGGCGGATGTGAGTGTTGGAGAGGGAGGATCCGTGTGGTCTCTGGAGCTGCATACCTGGCTGGTCTTTTGGATTATATCATACACAGGTGCATTTAAAATGTGCGGTCGGTGAGTGCGCAATCTTGCTATTTTCCAGTCACCTAATGAGGAGAAGACCTGCACATATTTGGTTTTATTGTCATAAGAAAGACTCTATGAATTTATACTAATTTTATCACATTTCAGCGCTGCACTATATATGTATAATGTCTCTGTTATGAGGTCTAGTGATCCCTTGAAGTGTTCCAGCAGCTGGTTTTTCTGAGCGCTCGCTATATTCACAATTCATTACACTAACCAATTGATTGATCAAATTTAAAAAGTGCACATGGCAAGCTTGATAGAGTGAGAAATGCATTTCAACTTTTATTTTTCAGCTCACACTCTAGCTTTTGTCGCTCTGCTGGCTGCTCACTCACCTGGGTTCCTATGGCAACTCACTCTACAGCAAGGGCAGAGAAGAGCGGTTAAAAACAAACTGCTCCAACTTGCTCACTTCACTTGCAGTTGCCATCTTCAAACGGTTGTAGTTTAAAAATTATGAATTCTATCCTGAAGAGCTTTATATTGTGAGAATCACAAGACCCAGACCTACATTTTAATGCATAGTATGTCTCTGAAATATTAAAAATGAACGCACAGTTGCAGTTTAGAAAGTGCCCTTCAAATTTGAGGTGGCTAGAGTGGAGTTTCAATGAATGTCAATGGGCGGCGTGAGTTGCAAACAAATGGTCATATTGTGAAAACTATCAGGACTATGGCTTAGCCGTGGACATTTTTAGTGGCAGCAGGGATAGCTGAACGTTTTGATATAAGATTTGTGTAGGTGGGCTTGAAAATGAGGGAGTGATGGCAGTTTAGAAATCATGTCCTGATTTTTCAGCTCACACTCTAGCTTTTGTCAGCTCCCACTCTAGTTTTGAACATTCCGCCATTCATTCCTATGGGACCAATTTCACCACAAAAATGCCGATATTTCATGAACCATTCAGTGAAACGTTCCACAAAGTAATAGCACACCAATCGGGAACAATCCGCACGTTATATTACTGTCTATGTAGTGTAAAAACTGTGGGAGGAGTTAGGGTGGTAAATTTGGCTATAATAATAAGAATATATATGTGAGATAACAGTAAGTGGTCTTGCCATGCAAGAAGACTTACCGGTAATTAATCTCCTGGCGGTATGATTCTTTCCGATTTTTTGTGCTGAAAGCGGTACCATTTTTTTGCATGGAAATATGTAGTTTTTTATTGTAGGCTGTAATTTTTAGGAATAACTCACTGAAATCTGTACGAACAAGAGTCTATTAAACATTCCGGATATGATAAAATTTGAAACACAAAATCATAAATTATAATTTAATAAATAGTCATAAAAAAAATAATAATAATAATAAATTTAATTCAATAATATAATCAAACCAAAAACACTGAAATTTGAAATACAGAGGCAAATTCGCACATCGCTGAGCAAAGTCGCAAAATCGTTTTCAGTGTCTGATGACGAATTTCCCCACGAATCATTATCACTCAATTCTGCAAGTGGTTCTGATTTACTATCGCTGCTCTAAAACCGCTTTTGACGTAAAGGGACGCTTTTTGGACGCCATGGACTTTTCTCAGTTTCCAGGCAGAAAGAACATTCAAAATGCAGGCAGGGCACAGGACAAAGCAGTAGGGACAAAATATATGTGAAATGCATTGAAACAGTAATGACAGCAAAAATGACATTTTTTAAAAATTTAAAATTTCCCGCCGGGGGACACATCGCGGGAGCGAAGGACAAGGTAAGTGCTGCAGGGACCTGCTCTAGAGCAGCGCCGCATGGTAAGCCCGAGTGTAGCTCGGGGTTACCGCTTTTGGTATAGAAATTATATCCCGAGCTACACTCGGGATTACCGCTAAGGAGGTTAAGAGGAACATTTTTAAAGGGAAATCTCTGTGTTTAAAGGTAATCTGTAAAATTATTAAAGATTTCATAAAAAACATTGCTATATCATAGAAGGCACCGCAAGGTAAGTTACATAGTTACAGTTACATAGTTAGTCTGGCTGAAAAAAGACAAACGTCCATCCAGTCCAACCAAAAAAAAAAAAAAGTTATAATCCTACAGCCACAGTTAATCCAGAGGAAGGCAAAAAAACCAACAAAGCACGATCCAATTTGCTCCTGCGGGGAAAAAAATCTTTTCTGATCCCCCGAGAGGCAATCGGATATTCCCTGGATCAACTATACCTATAAATGTTAGCAAACAGTTATATTCTGTGTATCCAAGAAAGAATCCAGGCCTTTTTTAAAACAATCTACTGAGCTGGTCAGAACCAACTATTGAGGGAGTCTATTCAACATTTTCACAGCTCTCACTGTGAAGAAACCTTTCCGTGTTTGGAGATTAAATTTCTTTTCCTCCAGACGTAAAGAGTGCCCCCTTGTCCTGTGTGATGACCTCAAGGGTGAAATAGCTCTACACTGAGTTCACTATATGAACCACTGATGTATTTATACATGTTGATCATATCCCCCGTTAATCTTCTCTTCTTAAGAGAGAATAAATTCAGTTCCTCTAATCTTACCTCATAGCTGATCTCCTCCATGCCTCTTATCAGTTTGGTTGCCCTTCTCTGTACTTTCTCCAGTTCCCCAGTATTCTATTTGTGAATTGGTGCCCAAAATTGAACTGCATATTCCAGATGAGGTATTACTAATGATTTGTACCGGGGTAGAATGATATAACTTTCTTTGGAGTCTATACCTCTTTTAATACAAGAGAGGATTATGATCTACCAGAGCTCCCAGTTCCTTCTCCACCATTGATTCCCCCAGTTGTACCCCCCCCCCAGTATGTATGATGCATGCATATTCTTAGCCCTCAAGTGCATAACTTTACATTTATCAACATTAAACCTCATTTGCCACATAGTTGCCCAATTAAACAGGGCACTGAGGTCGACTTGTAAGTTGAAGACATCCTGTAAGGACGTTATTCCACTGCACAGCTTGGTGTCATCTGCAAAGACTGAAATGGGATTTTTAATCCCAGACCCTATATTGTTTAAATATATTAAAAAGTAAGAGTCCCAACACTGAACCTTGGGGTACACCACTGATGACCCAGACCATTCAGAGTATGAATCATTAACCACTACTCTCTGAATACGATCTTTTAACCAGTTTTCTATCCATTTACATACAGATTTTTCCAAGCCTGTAGACTTTACCTTACACATAGCCATGTGTGGGGAACTGTGTCAAACGCTTTTACAAAATTCAAGTATACCACGTCCACAGCCACACCTCTGTCCAAGGGTTTGCTCATCTCCTCATAAAAAGATATCAGATTTGTTTGACAACTTCTGTATTTCATGAATCCATGCTGTCTGTTGTTTAAAATATTTTTTTCCAGCAAGAACTCATCTATGTGGTCTTTTATTAAACTCTCCAGTATCTTCCCAACTATAGATGTTAAACTAGCAGGTCTATAATTAGTTGGTAAATATTTTGACCCCTTTTTAAATATAGGCACCACATTGGCCTAACGCCAATCCACTTGTAGTATGCCAGTCATTAAAGTGTTTTAAAAATTAGAAACAATGGCTTTGAAATGACAGAGCTCAATTCTTTAACCGCCTCCCGCCCGCCATATAGTAATATGAAGGACGCAAGGTGGTTCTCTCGTTCTGGGAGGACGTCATATGATGTCCTCCCATTCTCACCGCGCGGCTCCCGAAGCGCGCAGTGCGGCGATCGGCGGTGCGTTGTGTCCCTCGGACACAGCGGATCACCGATCCATGGAAAGAGCTGAAGATGTCAGCTCGGTCATGTGATCAGCTGTGTCCAATCACAGCTGATCACATGTAAACAGGGAAATGCCGGTTATCGGCATTTCTCTCCCCACGAGCTGTCACGCTGACAGCTCGTGAGGAGAGGAGAGCCGGTAATCGGCATTCCTCGGAGGGGACATGTACACAGATCATCAGAGCACTGATGATCAGTGTGCCCTGATGATCCTTGTAGCCCCAGCAGTGCCGCCTGTCAGTGTCCATCAGTGCCAGCTCTCAGTGCTCATCCATGCCACCTGCCAGTGCCCATCAGTGCCACATCAGTGCCACATTTCAGTGCCCATCAGTGCCACATCAATGCCATCATCAGTGCCCATCTGAGCTGCCTTTCACATATCAGTGCCCATCTGAGCTGCCTTTCAGTGTCACCTATCAGTGCCAGTCAGTGCCGCCTATCAGTGCCAGTCAGTGCCGCCTATCAGTGTGCATCAGTGCCGCCTATCAGTGCCCGTCAGTGCTGCCTATCAGTGCCGCCTAACAGTGCCAGTCAGTGCCACCTAACAGTGCCAGTCAGTTTCGCCTATCAGTGCCAGTCAGTGCCGCCTATCAGTGACACCTATCAGTGCCATATATGAGTGCTGCCTTTCAGTGCCCATCAGTGATGCCTGTCAATGCCCATCAGTGCCACCTACCAGTGCCTCCTCACCAGTGCCCATCAGTGCCACCTTTCAGTGTCCATCAGTGCAGCCTATCAGTGCCCATCACTGCAGCCTTATTAGCGCACATCAGTGAAGGAGAAAAATTACTTATTTACAAAATTTTATAACAAAAACTAAGAAAAAAACTTTTTTTTCAAAATTTTCAGTGGTTTTTGGTTTGTTTAAGAAAAAATAAAAAACCCAGAGGTGATTAAATACCACCAAAATAAAGCTCTATCTGTCACAAAAAATGATAAAAATTTCATATGGGTACAGTGTTGCATGACCGCACAATTGTCATTCAAAGTGCAACAGCGCTGAAAGCTGGAAATAGGCCTGGGCAGGAAGGGGGTATAAGTGCCCTGTAGGCTAGTGGTTAAGGACCCGTGGTGTACACCATCTGGTCCAGGTGCTTTATTCTGTCTAAATATTAAGTTAATTGTAATCCTCTTATTGGAGTCTCCTTGGGAGCAGTTAGACCCTCAGCCTATACTGTAAGTTCTTCTTCATCCCTGATTAGAAAGTATGATCTGCCCCTTTGCTGTCCCATAAATCAGTATTTACAGCCACTGTTACTCAGCCAACTTATTAATTTTCTAGAAAAAAAACTTTTGAGATTCCCTTGTCTACAAATACAGTAGGCCATAGAACTGCTTGCAACCTCAGAATAATAAATCTAATGATAAATCTAAAATATGTTCTGAAATAGCAAATCTTTGGGTTTTTTTTTAGCTTTCAGTGAAAATGTCTCTATTTTAAAGAAGTTGTAAAGTTGAAAAGTGGTAAACTCTTTTTTTTAAGGTGAATCTAACCATATCTTATATCTATGTTTCTTTTTTTTTTACTTGCCTGTTATGTGTTTTATCCCTTTAAAGTGTAGGTCATGTGATTGTTGTATGTTCCTGAATGATTTACGGACCCGCTGGTGGGTGTGTATGCTGTGGTGCAGCTACATCACATTAGGAAATTACGTTGGCACATGGTGTCCGCTTTTCCAAGGCAATGAAACGCAACCATACTCAGCAGCTACACAGGAGCGGAGGAGCGGCTGGAAGGGAGGAGCGACTTCGTACTAACCATGAAAGGTACAGACATGCTGTGACCATGGAATATACAGGCATGCTGTGCTCTTGCCTGTACAAATAGCGAGATGTTACAAGATGTAAACTGACCATGCTAGCATGGATTGGCAGCCATGCTAACGTGGTCAGTTTACTCTCAGGAGAAGGGACACAGGCAGGATCAACCAGGTATTATTCAACACAGACAGCACCAAATAAAATAGCAACATTATAAAGCATACTGTTTTGCTTTAAAAAAGCACTAACATAGTTTTTTTTTTAGCTTTAAAAACACTTTAACTCTAATTTTTTTTCAGTCACTCCTTGAACCCCCTAATAGAATAACAGCAACCTAAGGAAACAAATACATTCAATTAGTGACTGGTAATTGCAGTTCTTATTAGTGGTGCACCGAAATGAAATTTCTGGACCAAAATCTGAATTTTTTTTAATCTATACCCAGTAACGTAAAATAACTTTTATTGAAAGTATGTATATACAGTTGTGCTCACAAGTTAGCATGCGCTGGCAGAAATTGTGTAATTTTGGCATTGATATTGAAAATATGACTGATCATACCAAAAAAATTTTCTTTTATTGAAGGATGATGGTCATATGAAGCCATTTATTATCAAACAGTAGTTTGGCTCCTTTTTAAATCATAATGATAACAGAAATAACCCAAATGGCCATGATCAAAAGTTTACATACCCTGGAATGTTTGGCCTTGGTACAGACACACAAGGTGACAAACACGGGTTAAAATGCCAATTAGAGGTTAATGTCCCACATCTGTGGCTTTTTAAATTGCAATTAGTGTCAGTGTATACATAGTCAATGAGTTTGTTAGCTCTTACTTGGAAGCACTGACTAGGCTAGATATTGAGCCATGGGGATGACAAAAGAACTGTCAAAAGTCTTGCGTAACAAGGTAATGGAACTTTATAAAGATGGAAAAGGACATAAAAAGATGTCCAAAGCCTTGAATATGCCAATCAGTTCTGTTAAATCACCTATTAAGAAGTGGAAAGTTCAGGGATCTCTTGATACCAAGCCAAGGTCAGGTAGACCAAGAAAGATTGCAGCCATAACTGACAGAGGAATTGTCCGGAAATGTCCCTAAAAAGATCTTGAGTATAAACTTAAGATGTCTTGAAGTAACTAATGTATTATTGGAAATGCTTGAAGTCATAAGAAAACATTCCCTGCACACTTGGGAGTCTCCACCGCAGTCGGACAAGGTGGTACTGCGCAGTACCAATAGGTGAAGCCAGGTAGTGCAGACTGCACCAGGTAACATTGATCAAGAATGGAAATGCTTGTTAATATTGTGGCAAGTGATCTCATGGTTCCCTGTGAGGGTGCTTCCAGTAACTGGGTTGTGTGGAAAGCGCTCAGGACTGGTGGTGATGCCAGAGGTTTTTTAATTTGATGTGGTGACACAGAATAATTCTGCAAGTGTGGTCCGAGGTGCGGCTGGGCAGTGGTTAGTAAATAGTGTGAATACTGCCTCACCTGCTAGACCTCAAGAGAAGGAAGGGCCTGGAATAGACGCGGGAGTAGCAGAGGTTCTGTCCACCACCCACAATGAGGTACAAGTTGATGTACCTGAAGACCCCCTGAATGACAGCACTGATATTATCAGAGACTGTTATGGTGAAATATGTGATCTTTTAATGATTAGTACAGCTAACAATGGTATTTATGATTGTGACATTGTGATGAGTAAACCAGTAGAAATTATGATGTTAAGCAATGCTGTGTGCTTTGATCAGTGTCAGTTGGTGGGACCATTGCCCCTAGAGAGCGGGACAACAGGCGAATTGGAGCTGTGCAAAGGTCTCGTTAGGGCTAGTTGCTTGCCTGCGTGTGGTTCCTCCTTGGGTCTGGTCCTAACCGACACTGATAAAGAAGACACTGAAGGTATTACTTGTGGCAAAGGTGATTTGTTGCCAAATTGTACGGTAAAAGATTGTTTGCTTTTTCAAAGTAACCACGAAAGGGTTGATGAATCCAGAGGAATGTCGAAAGTGATTAAAAGTGATTCAAATGAAAGGGAAAGTGGCTGTGCATTAAACATAGTGGGTTCCCTACAGCTACAGGACAGGGAGTTGGGGAAACCCAACAAGAATGATAGTGCACCCTCAGAAAATGAGAACAGGCCCAGGAACCCCAAGAGAAGAGGGAGAGGGTTTAATGTAAGAAATAGCAGAACTCCGTTGAGATTCAGGGTAGTGGGGGCCTGGAAACATACCCGGAAAAAGGGCCTACGTGGCAAACAGATTCTCCAAATTTGATATTTCTGCACGGGGCTCTATAGTTTTGAGTTTGGAGATTGGGAGGGAAGAAATCTCCAATCCAGTGTCCAGATTTTGTGGTCAACCAGCAGGGTGTGGGCTAGGTGCTCACAGCCCTTATCAAGATAGTCTGCTGAGAGTTGCAAGGGGGAGTAGAGTGCAGTTGGAGTAGTGGCTGCCATTGTGAGTCTCTGTGTGAGACAGATGCGGTGTGCATCAAAACGGCTCGAGGCTGTGCACCAGGAATAGCCAGGGGTCTGGGAGACCCACACCAGCAGAGGTACTGCTGACCAAGGAGTAACCAGGAGGCTTAGCATCTATCAGGTGGATTTACAGCTGGAGAAGAACCCCTGTGTGTGTGTGTGTGTATATATATATATATATATATATATATATATATATATATATATACACTGCACAATAATTTAACCACTTCCCTTCTAAAGAATTTACCCCCCTTAATGACCAGGCCTCTTTTTGCTACTCGGCGCTGCACTAATTCAACTGATAATTGCGCGGTCATGCAATGCTGTACCCAAACAAAATTTATGTCCTTTTTTTCAAACAAATAGAGTTTTCTTCATTCAGGTATTTGATCACCTGTGCACTTTTTATTTTTTGCGCTATAAATTAAAAGCCTGAAGGTGCTTATTGGATTTTGGGGTTGTCATGTTTTACATGACTGTCATATTGACTGTCTTATGCCTTTAAGTGTTTTCTATATTTTGTCTCTGCTCCTCCTTTTCCTTTGGTTTAGTTAATGCTGTATAGATAGCCCACCCTTTTTCCCAGAAATGCATTGCAGCTCTAGCCTCATGTCATGAAGCAGGACACATTATGATCTTTTGACCTATCGAATGTTCATTGTTGTAAGATTCTCTCAGTTTATGGAATAAACTTCACAAGATCTACAAGATATCATCTCGATTGAGTCACTGACTGTGGTATCCAACTGAGGTTGAAGTTATCGCTATCTCCTCACAACTGTAAGTTACAGAGATCACATTTTCAATGCTTAGATTCGAGAGACAGAACAGTCAAAAGATCTGTGGAATGCTTCAAAGGATCCTTGCTAGTCAAAGGATCAGCTACAAGATCAGTCAAATGATCAGTGAAATGTCTTCATATGATCCTTGCTAGCTTGAATACACAGTGAGATGTTATATGGACAGCTATACAGAGTGCAGCCATCTCTACACATGCCTGTACATGTCTGCAAGTATATCTCAGCATAACACTCATCAGTGTCAGGACAAATTATTGATGTGAATGTCTTACAACTGCACGTTTTTACACTGCACCTGTATGCATTAAGCACATGGCTTGTCTGTAAATCTTGTAAGAAAGTTAGAGAACACTTTTCTGCAACCATTGCCTAGGAAACCTGAGCTCTCCCACAGAAAAATTGATACATTTCTCTGTAAACTTTCTATCAACCCCTCTCCTTACTAACCTTTTTTTTCCAGGAAAGCAATATACAGTCTGGGGAACTAATACACAACAACAATCAGAGCTTCATCCAGAGCAGGACTTAGATAAAAGAGAAAAACGCTTAAGAAATCCAACCTGGAAAATGCAAGAAAATCTTAATGCTGACAAGTTAGAATTGCTGTCTAATATTAATGACTTGTGGTCTAATACTGTTAAATGCATGTCTGCTCTCTCCCAACAATCTCATGAGCCAATACAACTAGAGGGCGCTATCCAGCAATTGAATGTTGCTTATGAGAATTATCAAAATTATATTGCTCTGTTAAAGCGGTACAACAC